ATCCGCTTGCTTGATGAGCTAAGCCCATTACAGGGCACGCGTACAACGTAGACGAAGAATATAGGTATTTTTTTCAGATATTATAGAGCATCGAAATTTCATTTTTCTTCCTTTTTATGCCCAACATCAATTGTCGTACAAGGAAAGAGCGAGAGACACACACAGTTTTTTACACTTTCAAATCGATTTAAGTTTGCTTGTTCATCTGTCTGTCTTGTTTTGCTTTGTTTAACGTACGAGTCATCATTTTTGTGATACTCTGATGAAATCTGATACACTGACGTGTTTTGGCGCAAGGCAGAACAGTATTGAAAATGGTTCGGATCGGACCACTTTTTCGATCACTTCCCATATAACGGTTTCTTTAGAAAATTCGTTATGTGAATGAGTGTGGGGTGCCGGTGTAGTAAGCCTCAGATCACCATGTTGTTTTTAATGGTTTTAAATATGATAAATATATTACACATTTATAGAACATATTATATGTTTTCTCTTTCCACATTTGAAACTATCAACTTTATGATTATGGAATTGGTAGCTATTTTTAAGAGCTCAACTTTTCGAACTATACAGCGGGAGTTGGGAATATTTAACTTCGCTGATAAAAGATTGTCGAGGTGAAAAGCAATTTTATTGGACTAAACATCTACTGTGACACTTTCATTTTTAGAACCCGATTACGCGACTTTCATTCCATTTACCCTTAGGTCGGCTTACATAAATCTTCACAATTAATGAGATGATATGAAAATCTTTCTTGAAGCATCAAACGACCCCTTTACCGTAATATTGAGCGATTTGCATAAATACACCAATAAAAAAAAACTAAACAAGAAAGGAATAAATAGATGAGAAAAGATATTGCATATAATTTTATATAATAAAAGTCATAAAATCAGAATGTCATGCCATAAAACCTGTAAAAAGTATCACTTGACCGTCCTTAGTAGTGTGTTAGTGTTTTTTTTTTTTTTCTTTTTTTTTTTTAATTTAATAAATGTGATTGTCAACATATGTCATGCGATTTTTTTCACATGTTGGAAATGAAAAGAACTTGTTGAGCTTCTAGTTCCCTATAAGAATCGATCCAATGTGAATTACCTTAATTACACTATTAATTACCTCTAGTCCTGTTAGTTCGTTAGTGCTATCATCTAGAAAATGTTTTTCCTAAAATGCATTATCTAAGAACGCAGAAATAGATATTTTACTAAAGACGGCTAATTGTTAATGGGTAACATGTGCTAATTTATGCTTTACTATAATATAAAAAAAAAAAGCTAATAAACTAATTGAACGCCGTTTAAGCGAAATCTAATTAATAATAACTTCATAGTAAAGTTATTAAAATGCGTCGATTAGGAATATGTTACTTTCACAAATGTGTTATATGCACAAGCAAGGAAGATTTAATCGTTCAAAGAACACAAATTGCAAGTAAAACTAGTTTTAAATAAATTGCTTGATCAATTCTTGGGAACAGTAGCCAGTCTAGCTTTAGTTGCCCTATTTTGACTGAGTAAGTTGTGTGGAGCAAGTGAAAGCTAATCATATCTTAGTTCGCTTCACGGACGAAATGTAATGGGAGATATAAATCTCCTTCGAGGTAACTTGCTTCAATTCGATTCGCGAACGAGTCTTAGAACTTTTTTACTCGACCACCCATTTGTTGTATTCTTTCACTATTATTAATTGCTTATAATTAATTTCAACGCAACAAAAAAGAAAAGAAAATATGAAGCAACAATGATCTGTAAAATTTGTAACGCCCTCGTCCTGCTGATGTAAAAAAGCACATGTGAGAATTTTTTATTTCAATTTTACTGAACAAATAATTTCAGTGCCACATTATATCAATGCAGAGATTCTTTTCAAGTCGATTAAATAAATTGTTGTCAATAAATTACATCGTTAGTTCGAAACAACATAACAATAAGAAGGAGGGTAGTAGCGGTGACATTACTAGTTAAAACAGCAGGCATGCATATAATGCCCAGCAGGATATAATTCTGAGAATGGCATAAAAACAAAAAAAAAATAAATAAAAAAATGGATTTCACTAGAATATAATAGATTAGATGATGTTCCCATGTGCAGTCTGCAGTGACTCAAAGGAAATTATGCGAATTTATTACTTTGGCATGGCAGATATTTGCACATTAACAAAGAAAAACATATTATTTGTCATTTTGCTGACTAGCAGTAAATTCTCTAGCAATGTTTATGCATTACATTGAAAAAAGCATATCTAAGGTACTTAAGGGTATTTAAAAGCAAATATTTCTGCTTAAGAAGGATTATTTGCATTATATAAAAAATGCTCTAGAAAATAAATGAGTATTTCTTATTCCCTACAGCTAAACTATGATATAATAAATTTATGTAAGCGTTTACAACGTCCAAAGAATTACAGTCACACCTACTTATCCCATTTTCAATATTTCTTCCAAATATCCTTCATCTCTTTTTTTCAACGGACGGTCCCAGTTAATTCGCAGTTCTGGACGAACACATTTGACGACTTCCTAATCGTTACCTCCATCCACCCTAATTACAGTTTATTGTTTATACACTCACAAAGCTTATCCTTAGGTTTTATTATTCTCACTGGATATATTCAAATGCTGCCGAAATTTTCCTTTAGACTGTTTGCGAGTCATTTGAAACTCGCATAATATGCAAGTTTAATATAAGTCTAGTTATTAGATTTTACAATGGGGTTTTCCTTCTAAACGATGCCAAGGTACCCGCCTATTTTCCTTTCGCTTCTTACGAGATTAGATAAGAAATGTTGAATATAAGATTTCATGGATTAAGGCATTTCCTTTGTTTTTTCTTTTACTTAAAATTTTTGCCGAAATAATCCGTCATAAATCCTTAGCTACATGCACACCTCTACTTTCCTTAATCCTTTATTTATGTTTATTACATAGCATGCTTTAGAGAATTAAGTCATTTGCAATCGATTTAAACTATATTAACTCAAGGGACATGGTTTTGCAACCCGAAAAATAGTGCGAAAACTTTGTTCCGTTATTTACTGTGTGTGTGTGTGTGTGTGTGCGATGTGGTCTCAGCCTGACCGTAAGAGATGACCTTAACAAGAATGTGCGCCCGTAGAAAGAACAGTAGTAGAGACCAGGATAAAATGGCGAAATGATTTTTGTTGCGATTGTGAAAAAAACGATTTGGATCATATGTCCGTATATCAAAATTAATGATTGAGGCCGTGTAGGTAAACAAAATCGTTTTTCTCTTCTGGTAATTGAATAAAAGTTTTCAATTCTTGCATCAAATAATTGAAGGTATATTGGCAACGATAATCTACGGAATCCTTTTTAAATTTTAATTTTTTAAATTTTATCTCAGTGTTCAGACTTATTCTAATTAAATTTAAAAAGTTTTTAAAGAAATAAATAATTCATCAGCTTGTAGGCGAGGAAAATGCAATGCTTTCAAGCAAATAAATTTTATATCAACCGTGCAACCAACCACATGCCATACCATACATATATCAAAGAAGTATTAACACATGCCATATAAATTAATAATAAAGCCGTCGGTAGAGAAAATGAAGAAAAACAAAAATAGTTAACAAATGAATAAAAACGTAACACGAAGGTAATAAAGCAAAACTTTAGCGCAGAAAATAGTTTTAACTAAAGTTTGGCATTAAAACAGCATTTTCCACTTAAAAAACAAACACAAACGAATAGAAAGAACGGAGTGAGACTGCAAAAAGTGCGGTAGTAGTTAATTTGCAGTACCGCTCTGCGGCGCTACTAATAAAAAGCAGAAAACATCTACAAAGTAGCTAACAAATGATTTTCATATATTACAATAATTACGAGGCTTGAAAGCCAGTGATGATAATGTTGTTGGTTCTACTACGTTGCTATCGATGTTCACAAGCAGCATAACAAACCATTAACGTGGCTTTCAAATGAAATGAACTCTTTGGGCAAAAAAACATGTCTCGCAGAACAGTGCAGAAAGCGGAAAGTTATGGTATGCGTGTAAATTAAACCACAGAAGCACAATTGCCGACAAGTTATAAACTTTTATTTAAACATACAACACAAAACAGGAAGAACAAACCCATCGAAAACTATATAAACTAATGATAATAATGATGATTTCTTTTTAAAAGGCGTGATAAACGTGACAGTTTTATTGCACTCCATTCAACATCTGAACATGAACACCATGAATACCGCATACAAAATCAAAAAACTATTGAGAATAAGTACTGAGCAGCGAAGAGATTGCACTATTTCTTTGAGAGTGTTACTCTTTTTAATTCAAAAAAAAAAACAAAAAAATTTACCAGTTGCTCTGTTATTGTCATCATCATTCGTGGCTAAGCATAGCACATTTTAGATTACCACTGCAAATTATTGAAAGAGATACCGTACGCTGATTGGTTGTTTTGTACGAATTGACGAGAATAATAGAGAGAATAGAGTGGTACTCTCTACTTTAAATTATTGAAAATTGTTTTTGCTTTTCAGAGAGAAGAAAACCAGTTTTCATATGGCATTGCTTTCAAAGTGATGGCGCATGCGAGTTGATTGGTTGTAAAATGTTTTTTTAATGTCCACTTTGCCATGAGCTAAACCGACCGCCATATTTGAAAATTACCTTATACGATCTCTTTCTAACGTATACTTCTCTCCTTATCTTACATTTAAATAAGATAGCTCGGAGAGAGAGAATACGTTTTGATCTCTTCTCTCTCATTTTTATTTAAATGAGTAGGAATACAGTAGAGCAGCAATGAAAATTATGAATATTCTCCGCCGCTTTGAGAATAAGCGTATCGTTTTGCTGCACATTTAAGTTTACTGAATTTAGTTGAGATTCAGATTTAGAGCGGTTCAGTCGTTATTCGGAAGAAAATTTGAAGTGAAGAGAAGAAATAAAGGTGAAAGCACAAATATAAAATTCAACTAAAAAAAAACAAAATAAACTTGACTAAGAAAAAAAAAAATAAATAAATAAATGAATATATTTCAAGCAAATTGTTGAAAAACCATAAAAAGTGTTTTGTGGCAAATAAAAAAACATAAATTTTTGGATTATTAAGACTAAGCCTACACAAATTTTCTGGCAATAAATTTTCCTGCGGATTACTTTGCCAACAAACCATAAAAAGATTTATGGACAAAAATTTATTTATTTAAAAAAGAAAAAAACGAAAAAACATAACATCATTCATAAAAATAGAGTAGTTTTATTGGTGTTTTTGCGCTCATTACATATATTTGTGGATTACCTTTAGCCATTAACTCGTTGTGGATTAGTAGCTGTTAACTTCTTGGCATATTGAAGTTTTTAGTAAAATTTGCCTACCACCCAGTCCAATATATAAAATAACATCATAATGGTGGTTTTAGAAGGTGGCGGTGGTGTTGTTACCATCGGCACTAATCAATATTTACAACCGGATTATTTAGCACCAATGCCTGCAACGGTTAGTATAATGTGTTTAACAATTTTATTATTATTATTTCGCGGAAGTATGAAGAAAAGAATGGAGGAAAATTTATTACTTTTGCCTAAGATAATAAAACTGAAACAATAAAAAATATGCACAATAAATTAAGTACTAAAAGTATAAAATTAAGCAAGCGTAATAAATTAATTAGAAAGGCGTTATATGAACATAGCTCATACAAATATAAATCAAACAAGGCTAAGTAATAAAATCAAAAAGCTTTAGAATTCAAAATAGAATTTTACAAAAAATTTTATTATCGTTAACAAAATATTGACTTACCTACGTAAGTTAGGCAAATGTTTCGAACCAATAAACGGCACGTACATGATTTCATGCATTGATCTTAAACTTTGGTGGCAACTATAACAATTAACGAGAACTGCTCGTAGACTGTGTACAAGAATGCGTAAAAATCGCTTCATCCTTTCAGAAAAAGTTTTTTAAGAGAATGTTTGCTCGAAACACGAACAATTTCTTAACAGTAGTTTGAATCATTAGCGATGGGGGAGAGAACAGCACTCATGTATTAATATCCGACGGATAATTTGCTTCATTTGAGAAGTCTAACCAATAATAATATGTTACGCATTTACCCAATTTTAACGCTAAAATAATTCAAGTAATTTGTTCTGTAAGCATATTACACATAAAAAATGGGAATTGTGAAGAGATTTACGTTAAAAAATATATATTAAAAGTAGCCTTAAAAAGTAATTTGGAAAGAATTAGTAAGTAATAGGACAAAACGTTATATTCATATGCAGGAAGAGTAGAATATTGCTACACATTGTTTTAGAAAAAACGAAATATGCAATTACTTAGTTATTCATACATTTCCTCCTGTTGTCTATTTCCATTTCCCTTAAGTCTATTAAATGCCAATTACTCCATCATCTTAAATTAAGTGAAGATTGAATGATATTCTTAGGAAAAGCATATAAATCGATGAAAGGATTTAATAAAGCATTTGTTACGTAGTTGTAGAGTTAGGCAAAACTGCATCATATATATTTGATATAAGTCAGGTCCAAAATTCTTATGTAAAATCTATCATTAACTAACTAACGATTTTCGGAACACAGTTAAAGTCAAACTGACTTGTTTATGATATTCGGCTCTGAAGTACACGATCTAAAATATTCAGCTAAACTATATATACGATGTAGGGAAGAGCTCCTTGTAATACTCTTGGGACTCTTTTGTTTGTTAAAACTTTCCACGAACATAGAATCCATCTGTATGATCCTTATAAGAGAAAAATTTCATATTATTACATTTTTATAGTGGCAATATGTTTGGACCATAGCAACCATAGAGGCATAAAATGTCCAAACGCTTTCATTTAGCTCAAACTCTGAAGTATTTCTTATAGAAAACTTCCTTTATTCGAATCCAATCAAATCGCATGGGTCTGGCATTATTTTTCGTATAAAAAATCTGCTGATGAAACTTTTACTGGTTGTCTTACGTCTGGTTGTAAAGGCTTCTTTAGGAATCTATCGTATTGCGTAGCGCGTTAGCGATCGAAAGTTAATCCCCATCATAATTACAGAAACCTATTAAATTGAATCTCTTTTTTTAAACTAAGAATTAAAACTTTTCTCTTTCCTCCTTTTCTTCCTTTTTCAGTTATACTAATTTCTTCATATATTCCACTGTCTCCATATATTTACAGATGGACGCTAAGAAAAGTCCTCTCGCCTTATTGGCTCAGACGTGCTCACAAATCGGTGCTGATTCGTCGGCCGTTAAACCTTTATTGTCAATAGATAAATCAAAGAAGTCTGGCTCGACTTCATCGGCTTCATCCACGTCATCAAGTGTTGGCTCAGAAGCAGGTTCAGCCAAATCGCCGACACAAGCTAAATCTCCCAAGTCTACTACACCGACGACCACAGAAGTCAAGTTGGCATTTAAGCCTTACGAAACTAACGTTTTAAGTCAACAAAATCAAAATACCTTCAAATCGGCAGCACAGTTGTCGATATCAGCGGTAAATAATACAACAGTTGACGATCAACAATTATTGCAACAGCAGCAACAACAGCAGCAACAACAACAACGCCCGAGCTCAAAGGCTTCTTCACATTCGGGGGATATCAATACAAGAGTGCCATCGCGTAATAAAACGGATGCAGATAGCCCCGATATGAATTTAGGCAAATCTCAAGATTTAAGTTCAACACATCAAGATAATAATCGCAAAACAGTGTCACCATCGGGCTCATCACAACGCGGAGCTAGTCCTATAGTGCGTTCTGGTATGGAAGTTTTAAACAATGCCAACGGTTCGGCTCAACACCCTAAAGAGATGAGTAGCATGGCGGCGGCTGCGGCTGCAGCAGCTGCTGCTTATAAGGCGGCAGGCGCACCCTACGGTTTAAATCCTTTATCCGCTTTATGCTGTCCTCCCGGTATGGAGCAACACGCCAATCCAGCCTTTCGTCCACCATTTGCAGCCGGAGGATTTTCGCATCATCATGCCGCTATGCTTGCTGCAGCCGCCGCTAATGGAGCTTATTCAGGTAATCCTAATGGTCCAGGCGGAGGTGCTCAACCAAATCCCTATATAACCTATCAACGTATTAAGACACCAGCTGGCGGTGAGGCTATTATACCTGTTTGCAAAGATCCCTATTGTCCGGGATGTCCGTACTCAGCGCACAATCATCAAATGCTGGTTGGTGCCCCTTGCCCGGCAGGCTGCACGCAATGTGAACATCAAAAGTACGGTCTGGCCGCCATGATGGGTGCTGGCGGAGCTGGTTTGCCGCCGGGCCATCCATACTCACAAGCTGCTGCCGCTGCGGCGGCCAGTGCTGCTGCGGCGCGTTCCGCTCCTTATGTCTGCAGTTGGGTCGTAGGTGATGCCTATTGTGGAAAACGTTTCCAAACGTCTGATGAGCTTTTCACACATCTGCGCACTCATACCGGGAATTTGTCAGATCCTGCTGCTGCTGCCGCTGCTTTGGCGCAATCGCAAGCTCAGTCTTTGCTTGGCACTCTATTTACACCGTCAACTCTACGAGGCGCTTATCCTACTCCACCGCTTAGCCCTATGTCGGCAGCGGCAGCCGCAGCTGCTGCTGCACGTTACCATCCTTACGCCAAACCACCTAGCGCTTTGGCTGCAGCTGGGCCCTCGCCATTCGCTACGCCAGGAGGTTTCAATCCAGCTGCCGCCGCCGCTGCTGCAGCGCTTGGACCTTATTATTCACCTTACGCCATGTATGGCCAGCGTATCGGGTCAGCAGCTGTGCATCAGTAAAATCCTAAGCATGTCTAACGGCCTCAAGGGCCGGCATAAAAGTGATGAAATATAAACTCATGAATAAAATACCAAAAAATTGAAGACATAAAAGTGCATGAATAATACACAGAAATGGAAAAGTGTTTTAAATAAGAAAATACACCAATAACAACAACAAAAAATAGAAGTTGAAAGCCGTAAAATGGTAGCCGCATCCATGTGATGATCTCCAACCGACGGTAATGATCAATTCTCACTGTGATACTAAAATGTAGAAGAGCGCTAGTTTTGTTAGTTCATAATAATAATAATAATAAAGAAGAAGAAGCATTAGGATTACAATTTAAAATAAAATTAATAAAATACACTGAGAAAAATACAATCATTTTTTTTCTTTCTTTTATCGATTTAAAGAAAAGCAGCCAAAGTATTCAACAACATTTCTTTCAAGTTAATAGAGAAATAACTAAAGATCACAAATACTTCCATGTTTTCGTTTTTCTTTCCTTATTTTTTTTTTTTTTCTTAATTTTTGTTTATTTTGTTTGGCTTTTTTTTTTTTTTTTAATAATATAAGCGAAAAATGTTTAAAAATTGTTTTGAAAAATTACTTTAATATTGAATTTTGTAACCTCATGTGGTTGATTTCATACAACTTTTTATTATTTTATTTGAATTGTTTTAAGCGTTTCTACGATAACTAACTAAAACATAATAATAGTTTATGTGTAAATAATTATTGGATATTTTCCTGTTTTTGCTAAACTTACACGACAACACTCGATGTTTTTCAGATACCGTAAGAGAATAAAAGAAAAATTAAATAAAAACTTTGTAATAAGTAAAAAAAAAATACAATTTATGAACAATTTTTCAGTAAAATAAAATAAAAAAATGGCAAATTAATTAATAAACCAATAAAAATAAAAACAATTCGTATTTTTACTTTTCATTTTCTATCTAATACGGGCAACGAGAAACTGCGTCCTACAACGGCTATCTAACGAAATGGGCTTAGCGTTGCCGCTATAAAGGCTTGCACAACGCAGATGTACGTATCAGTAAACCCACAAAGTGCTAAAGTGGTTGCCAAGAGGCTTTAATTTGTTCCAAAGCCAGCGTATGAATGGCGTTCATAGATCCAAAATTAATTCTGTCTTTTCAACTTTTCTCCATTCATTTAAACACATCAAAAATTCCACGCAAAAATTTGTTGTTTCAAAATTTGTTAAAACTTCTAAAACCATGCTGTGACTTAATATCATTTTAAAGAGAGTTAAATCTAGGGCTCGCGGGTTCAAATCTTAGTGCGGTAGGCCATACTTGTTCGTAGCTTATTTCTAAAAATATGTGTTACGTTGCTTGCTTTATCATGATGTTCAAAAGTGGACAGAAATGCCTCCAGAAATGATTGATTATATCGGACTTTTCCTTCTTTTTCCTTTTTGGGTTGTGATAAATGTAGCTGATTGGATCAATTTATGAGACTTACAACAAAGTAATAAGAGGAATTTTCATCGGGCCTCGTTAAATTCAGTTCGGAAGCAAGAAACGCTTGTCAGTTTTACAGAGATGAAGGTTACTTCTCATGTCGATTTGTAACTTCCACGGAGTGAGATAGGCTTACCACTATCATGCTGACTTAAGAGAATAAGCCGCAGAAGAATGTGAGCGCGGGCTCTTGGCCCCGCAGCGGCCGAAGTATTGAAGATCCTCAGAAGGAAGTTATGGCATGAAAAGCGGATTTTCTTAATCGTTTGCATTCAAAAGAGTAATAGATGAAAAGCATGGATAGAAATCGATGTCAACGGTGGAAACGGTTTTCCCAATAACCACATTGAAGAAGCAACGCATCCAATTACCGTTGGACTATATAAATATTTAATCTAATGGCTTTGATTTTCATCGCTTCCCCAAACACACGAAATTTTCAAGCGTCAAGCGTAACAATGAGCACAAACTCGCGACGTAATTTGTAAAAAAACTCACGCTAATGATTGGGTAAATAGTGATAAATTTCGTTTGCATTTAAACTGATTGCTTTAAACTTCAAAAACATAAATAACAGTTGTAATCGATGAGTTTACTTTGAACCAATTTTCTATTTATGTATTGTTCATTAACGATCTTCTGTGCGGCACGGATAGCCTTATTGTTTTGTTTGACAGGTGGCTCCATTGTGTCACTCGTTATCATTCAATGAAAGATCAGGAAACATCAACATTCAAAATGCATGCTGCGTTATGAACGGTACACCTAATGAAGACATCATCAAACATTTGTATGGGTGCGGGAATATAGAGTCACACGATTTCAACGCAAACAAAACGGGGCGCTGTCTACCATCGTATAGAACCACTTCTTTGTTGCAGTCAATGTAGGGAAGAATCGGCAATGGTTGGAGCATGAGAATGCAAATAGCATTCAATTCACTGTAAAGAGATGGTGTTTGAGATGGCGAGAGCAGCAATCAACGCCATAGGCCTACAGCGTAAACAACCGTCCTGTATCCGTCCTCCTTTACACCATTTATATCGCGTCAAAGTGAGAATACGGTTATCATAGGCTGCTTGAGCGGGAATTTCTTAGTATTATTGGGAGTTGCCGTCCTCGTAAAGCGATGCTTTCAGGTGACCGGATATATATATGAATTTATATTTATATATGTTTGGTACGTTTTTTTCCCTTAAGTAGAGCGTACACAAAGGCTTTCATTCCTTGCCGCCCGCTCTTCTTCTTCCTCACCAGGGATTTAAAAATTGTTTTATGCAAAACCTCTGATGTATATATCTACAAGATATAAACGCATAAAAAGTTTTTATAAGCCCTCTTCAAAGGAGTGAGTACCTAAAAATTTGCCACAAAGCGATTAGAACTTTTTTATTTCATCTGTTCCATTCACGCGAGCATGAAATTGATAACCCATCACCCTTCCTTTGTCAAGTAATGTTTTACTTGAAACTTTGATGTGCTTGTGATGTTAGCTGCCATTCCATCGATCAATTTCAAATGATTCGGCACTATATTGAACATGTTATCAACACATGTCCTATAAATATAGAATGAATATTAAATACACAAAAAAATTAGATACAATGAATACAAAAGAAAATTAGCCCTATGGGGCTAAGCATTGTGTGTTTTAAAAATCTTGTCACTCTTTTCTTCTACATCATTCGCATAGTCTCAAGACAACCGAACATTATATTCGGCCTTTTGTTTCTTGTCAGATTAACTTCAAGAATTAAGTGAATAGTCAAACAAGCCTTATCTCTTACTAATCAAACATTTCTATAAATTATAAATAAACTCTGTAGTGGTTTATAAAACGTTAAATTAAATTAGCGGAAGAATTTTTATCTTCAATTCTCTCTTGAGTGACGAGTAAACATACCTAGAACCTAGATCATAACCCTATAAATAACGAATAAGTAAATAAAAAATGAATCAAATTTTAGATGAATTCAAGCTAATTATCCCACAATAATTTCAATTTATTTAGAGCATTTCAAAATCGAAATGCCTTTAACCCAAGAACAAGAGCTGAAAGCGTTTTTTTTTGGATAATTATCTTAACCTGGGCGAGTGACTTAAATCTAAATGGTTCAGCTCTGGAATCTGGAATATCTTAAAAGTTCGAGGATCCTAAAATCTATCGCCAAGTCATCTATCCCTCACTCAATAACTTTCTAGTCGCGTACATACATGACAACCCGATTAACAAACCCATGCTTGCTGGGGAGTGATCACGTATGAACAGTTTAAGTCTCGCTTAGGTTTTCGGCTGTGTCCGCTAAACAGCTGAACACCAAAATGAAAGCTAACTATCAATTACGTGATTATCCCTCCGAATAATGCCAGTCTTCAAACGATATATGTGAAAATTTCTGAACCTTCTTGCAATCACTTGGTAAGTTATAGCTGTTGTGGTGACGCTACTTATGTGGTTATCAAGAGAAGGGAAAAATCTTTCTGAACCCCTGGTTGATTGATTAAAGACGTTGCTTTTTAATGAAAAAAGATCACTTGTCTTAGAAAGAATCGTTCCGCTTACTAAAATATTTCTCTTTTCATACCTGTCAAGGTGCATTCATCTCAATCATGAAAAAGCTTATGCAAGAGCAGCGAACTTTGTAAAATCCGTATAATTATCGATGATTTGCTCCTACAACTATATGAAAGTATAATTGCAAATACCTTGCATAGGCACTTAGTATATACTTAATGTTTGCATATTACTGGATATCTGTCTTGCTAGCGTGTATAATGAAATCTGCGATATTACAGTAGTGCATAGTGCGATCTTTCCTCCTTTCAACACAACGCTCTAATAGGGAACAATAAAAAATGAAATTCAAGTTTCTAACTTAATTCTCTCTTGTCTAACTGCTTCAAGCGAAAACCTTTACTATCGTTTACGTTTATTATGCATTGAAAATTCCAATGCAATTAACAATAATAGCCGCAATTTTAAACATTTTTATTTAATTCATTATTTATGATGTGATGAAATAATCACACAACGGATGGAATAAAAAAAAAAAAAAAAAAAAAAAAATTTAAATATGTAGACATTTATTTACACATTGGTATTTACAATGCTTATAAAATAAATAATGAATAAAATAAATTTATTAAATTCATTTCGCTGCGTGATTTTTTTTAACAGTTTTTTTTTTTAATTTTTTTTTTTTTTTTGCTTTAATGCAATCATTGCTTTGTGACTGTTGGCTGTTTGCTGAGCATGTTAACAGTGTTAAGTATTACTAATAATGGCTGTCTGTATGTAGTACGATATACATACGTATACAAATCGAACTCTATGAACGTACAAGTATGCAAAGGTATTCGCAACGATTTGTAACAATCAATAAAAATAACGTTTGCTTTTTTTTTTCTTATAAAAATAAGTAAAGTAAATAAATAGTTTTAGATTTTTCCACCAGTCAGACATCTAACAAATGCTTTCAATTGCCTAGTGCTACATACGTTTGTGTTTTTATAGGTTTTCAAATACACACTATTTTAATTAGTCTGTTGCAAAAACATCATATATTATATAATATATAATATAATATATAATATATATAATGTTTTTGCTTGTTGTTAGTTGATCTTATGCTCAAGCTCTGTAAGAACTTGAAAAGAATTTTTTTTTTGGATATAAGGAAAAATTATAGAATAATAATATTTGACCAGGTTATTGAGCACATTTTCAAGTACTAAAAAAAGTTATATAGAATTAAAGAGTATTAAAAAATGGCAACACCGCATCCATTTTCGTGAGGCGTCTTTAACTGGAAGAACTCAGCCGTAAACAGTATAACTTTTCGAAATTTGAATTATAAGAAAATACTTTCAATTACATGAGTGTAGCTACATTTGCATGTGATCCTACGAACTTATTGGGTAATGGATTATTTGCATTCTCTGCTCTCAAGAGGCATTTAATCCAACCTATTGGTGAACATGTAATGAAATTCTCAACTTTCTAGTTTTCACTATTGCAGGCGTTTTTGTCGATGGACAACGTTCACAGTGAAAAAAATATT